GGCGCCGAGCCGAAAATTCTTATTTTTTATAGCTTAGTTTTCTGACTTGAGATCTGTTCTTAGAACTCTAGTTATTTGCCCATGTTCTGAGTCCTTTTTATTTTGCTGAACCCTGTTCTGCAAGTGGAAGTAATGACATGCCCTGATGTGATTATGAGATGTTTCTGTAACAGTTGCAGAGCTTTGGGGTCCGCAGGGCGCTTGTGCATTCCCAGTGTTGTCTGTAGTGTAGGAGGGCAGCAGGCATTTTAGCACTTACAGACTAGCAAACTGTAGCTCAGCAGGGGCTGTTGGTGGTTCAGGAGCCTGTCAGCAACACTGGACTCTGGCTTTAGCCCCCATGCCATGTGCATTCTTCTGGGCCACATTCTCTCCCTGTGTCAGGTGGCCACCCCTCAGAAGTATAAAAGTGAAGGGCAGAAAGCCTGTGGGGTCTCCTGAGGGATCTGGTCTCATGCTGGTGTCCTTCACTGCCACCTCTCCTTTGCCACTGGCTTGCCATGTGGGTTTGCATAAGATGGCTGGGTCCCTTGTCTCTGCCTTCTGGAGCAGGTGTCACAAGAAGAAACTGACAAGGCTTTGGTTCTAGACACATGGGCCTGACTCAAGAGACTCCTGGAAGCTCCTGCCCTCTCCATGAGCTCCTTGTGTATATAAATGGCAGAAAGTAGAACAGAAGCTGTTCACACGTGTGCTCTTCTGACTGATGGGTACAAGGAGAGAAGAGCCTCCATCCTGATCTGTTGGGATTCTCTTTTCAGGGAACATTAAGCAAAACCCCAGCACACAGAGCCTCCTGCAGAAAGGTAAGAGTCACTCCCAGAGGGCCCAGGGCTGTGACCTGAGCCTTTTCTGAGCTTAACTCTGGGATTCGATCCCAGGGCTTTGCAATAAGGATCCCAAGGCCTTTTTTTGTCTTTTCTCAGGGATGGAGCTGAAGACCATCAATGACTTTCTCTTTCAGAGCCAGATTGACAACATCAACCTGTTCAAGGTAGAGGCTCTCTCCTTTGTATGTTACCCATCAAATTTTCTTCTTGCCACCTCCTATAGCAGAGTACTATGTTTAGAGAGGGAAAGAATAAGCAAATTCCTGTCATGAAACAGTGTAAAGTCTGAGGGTCTAAAGCACAGACAGATGGGGTATGGCTACTGGCCCTTGGTCCCAACCTAGTGACTCTAGAAACAGTGACTGCCTCTATGATGGAGTACTAACTATATTCTAGGCAGTGCACCAGGTTCTGTGGCTCTGAACTAGTAAGTCCTGTTACACTTGTGAGTAGAGGAAACCAAGGCTCAGAGGTCACCTTGGGAAGGTGATGTGCATAGGCCTCCCACGAGTGAGCTGATGGTGCATGGCTCAGCTGGCATACCAGCCTGGCTGTACTGATTTGGCCCTGCCTTCTTTCTGGAAAAACCAACTTTCCCCTGACTTACCCATTTTGGTCCTTTTCTCTGCCATTGTTCCTGTTAGACAGCCCGGAAATCTAGGTCATCTTAGATACTTTTCTCCCTTTTCATCTCACACCCACACAACCACCAGGCTGAGAGCCTCAGACAGGTCTGAATGTCCCCCTGTTCTCCCCACGTCCTCTGTGACTTCCTTTTGCTGGCCTTCACTCCCCTTGCTTCTGTCCTCTCCCTCTTCTGGTATGCTTTGTGAACCACCATCTAGTGAGTGTTCACTAGAGGGCGACACTCTTTAGAAAGCTTAAAAGGCTCTAAACCTCTTAGCTCTGCCTGCTATGCTGAGATTTGACACCAAAGTACCTGAACTGTGCACCCCAATTGCCCCCCTCCCCCGAGCAGGCCCCAGCTCACCTCCTCTCTGCCATCTCAGATGCTGTCACCAGTAAGGGCATAACTCTATGGAACATACTTAGAGATAGGAGGCAGTGGGCTGTGCTCCCAAGTTGGAGGAAGGTGGTGACCTTTCCTTGCAAATAGAGACAACACTCCCTCCATGTGTGCACGTGCCTGCAGCTGATGGGTTTTACAGGTGCGGCGGTACTGTGAGAAGAGCATGGTCAGCAGAAAGGTACTGCTCCCTGTCCTTGGCCTGCCCTCCAGATTGCCCTGGGTTCCCTTGGTGCAGAGCAGCCTTGCTGGGGTGGAGGGAGGTGGCCTGGTAGAGCATCTGGTGCACCCGGTCTCCTTTCCCTGCTGTTGCTCATGAGGTGCGCTGTGCTCTCCATCCTGGCCTAGCTATTTGGCTTCACAGAACGGTATGGAGCAGTCCTCTCCTCCCAGGAGAAGCCCAGACTGACAGGGTTTCAGGAATTCCTACAGCGCCTGCAGCCTGGGGTGACTGAGGGTGAGTCAGGAAGGTGGCAGGGCCAGGCTGGCTGCAGGCCCTGGGCTGAGCATCCCTTTCTTATGTACGGCTGGACTTCAGGGAGCCCTCTTCCCCCTTGCCTGCTCTGTGTAGCCCCTGCAACTCCTGTGGATGAGGGCCAAGCCAGGCCTCCCACTTCCCCACTGATGCACATTGAAGGCTTCCTCACAGCCCTCACCACAGCCAACCAGGACGGCAGAATCATCTTGAACCACCAAGGTAATCAGGTGCTTCCTGTCCAGGCTCTGTCCCCAAGCAGGTGCCAACCTGGATCATGGGAGCCAAGTCATGAAAGGAGTCTATCTGTCCATCCTGAACCCTTCCTGGGCCAGGAAGAGGAAATAAGGCAGCCTCCTGCAACCTTGGGCCGGCAATGGAGGCGGGAAGGACAAAGGTGCTGGGAGGGCAGGGCCTATTGGGCAAGGTTCTTAGAGATGCCCTGTGGCCTAGTGGTTAAGGTGAGGTGGGCTTTGGTTTGAGTCATTCATTGTTCTGTCACCTGTGAACTATATGACATGAACCATTGTCTCCGAAGCTCAGGGTCCATATATGGAAAGGGAGGCAATAGTACTGTCTATCTCTGAGGGGTGGTTGACCTAGAGGTTAAATGGGATGGAATTGATGCGGCTCTCATGCCATGGGCATGCCCCTTCACCCTGACCCTGAAGTCTGAGTGGGCCTGCACCCACCCCTTCCTCATTGTTAATGTCCTCTTTTCAGGCAGCCTCAGTCAGAGCAGTCTTAAATTCTTGCTGCTGAATCCAGCTGTGCACTTTGCTCAGGTGGTGAAGGAGTGCCGGGCTATGGTCATTGCAGGGGGCACCCTGCAGCCGGTAAGGACACCAGTCCAGCCTCTTGTGTTCCAGGTCCCCAAAAGAGAAATGGGCTGGCTCAAGCAGTGTCTACTAGATGGCCATGGGGTGCCATCCTTATGCTGGAGGGAGAGTGGGGCTGCTCTGTACCGCCCACAGGGTCAGGTCAGACTTTTCCGGGGAAAGTCCATCTCTAGTTCACAGTCTCATGTAGGCACCTCTGTGCCATTCCCTTCCCACTGCCACCATAAGTCTGTCAACCTCTCTCTTAGAAACTTGAAATGTATTTTTTTTATAAAAGTATTATAGGGCGGCACCTGTGGCTCAATGAGTAGGGTGCCAGCCCTATATACTGAGGGTGGCAGGTTTGAACCTGGCCCCGGCCAAACTGCAACAAAAAGATAGCCGGGTGTTGTGGCAGGTGCCTGTAGTCCCAGCTACTCAAGAGGCTGAGGCAAGAGAATCAACTAAGCCCAAGAGCTGGAGGTTGTTGTGAGCTGTGACACCACAGCACTCTACCTAGGGTGACAAAGTGAGATTCTGTCTCTAAAAAAATAAATAAATAAATAAAAATATATAAACATTATAGTTTCATTGTGGAAAGTTGAGATGAGCAAAAACAAGAAAAGTACAAATCTACCAACAAAAGGTTCATTTTGGTGTATATCGTTATAATAGTCTTTCTGTGCATAGTTTTTACATCTGTTGCACCCATATTTTAAAACAAAAACAAGAATGATGTTATTCTTACGTGCTATTGTTTACTTTTCACTGAGTACCAATGTGTTGTACACATTTTTCCCATCAGTAAGTATGCAATATGCATTTACTGTGCCTGCTCTACTCCGGCTGCAGCGTGTTCCGGTTATACGTGTATATCACACAACCAGTCTTCTTGGTACATATTTAGGCCTTCTCCAGTTTTGCTCTATTTGAAACAATACTATGTCAATTATAACCAAATCTCTGCACAGTGATGATTTCAGCCTAGAAAAGGATGAAATGCTGGTCAGAATCTAAAAGAAGTAGTTCCCAGCTACCTGTAGCTTTTTTGTTTTTGTATTTTTCATGTAGATTCACAGATTTTTCATAGATTTTTATTCATTTGATGTATTAAAGTTGTTTATAGTCATTATTGTTTTTGAGGCTCACATTTTCTCAAACTTGACTGGTAGGAACTCCATCCTACTACCTCTGTTTCTTTTTGGGGGTGCAGGGTTAAGTTCTCTGTCACCCAGGTTGGAATGCAGTGGTGCCATCTCCTCTCAGCCTCCCGAGTAGCTAGGAGTACAAGTACATGCCACAATGGCCCACTAATTTTTTAATTTTGTGTAGAGATGAGATCTTGATATGTTGCCCAAACTGGTCTCAATTCTGGCTTCAAACAAGCCTCCTGCCTCAGCCTCCCAAAGTGTTGGGCTGAGATTATAGGTGTGAACCATAGCACTTGGCCCTCTGCTCCTTTTAACACAACCCCATCAGTCTTGCTTTCCAGCACAACTGAATGTCCGAGGCTCAGCATGTAAGTTCCTTGCCCCAGAACCAGACTCATTCATTTTTCCAAGGGCCTTGTTTTTTTCTACTGGGGAATGATGTTTAGAAATCAAGACCTGGGTGCTAGGGTGTTTGTAGTGCTCCTAGATTGTGGTTGTTTATAAAGCATCAGTAGACCTAGAAAATATGTTTTCAAAAATAAGTTCATATTGATATTTCTAAATAAAAATTAAATTTATTCCCACTAGTGAGCTGATGCATAGCCAGGTTGAGAATCAGATTTGTTGAATTCCCTGTACTATTCCTACACGTAGTTTAATGTGACTGTCAATGCTGGACATTATTAACATTTTTTTTCTTTTTGCCAGGTTGTTGCTGTCCTTTTACATCTTTTCTGTTCATGTGTATTTGCTGCCTTTTAGCCCAGACTGCTCTCTTTTTTGTCCTCTTCTTTCCTGCTCCTCTACCCCAACTCAGGACTGAGTCCCTTTCTCCTGGCCTTCTGGGAGGTCAACAAGGCCTTGACCTTGTGGTCTGCAGGTTTCGGACTTCCGGGAGCAGCTGCTGGCCTGTGCAGGGGTGGAAGCAGAGCGAGTGGTGGAGTTTTCATGTGGTGAGGCGCTGTATCTGGGGTGGGACAAGCCAAGCACTCACAGTCTGGCCTCTGCTGTGTGAGTGTGACCACCCACTGTTACCAGGCCCTGGGCTGAGGAGACCCCAGGGTGGGAGCCCCTCCGTGTCCTGGCTTTCTCAGGAGCTAAGCTCCCCTCTGCAAGCACCCTGCCCCCACCGTCTGTTTGCCCCATTCTGCTGTGGTGATGGGATTTGTGGGCCAGTGTTATCCATCACTCTTCCTAGTCCGGAAGATGATAGGAAACGCCCTTGCTGGGCTCTACCTTGTAAAGCATCTGCACCTCCAGTCTTCAGCTCCCTGGGTCTCACCAGGTCACGTGATCCCTCCAGACAACATCCTGCCCATTGTCCTCAGCACGGGCATCTCCAACCGGCCACTGGATTTCAAGTACCAGCACAGGGAGCTGCCACAGATGGTTAGTCCTTGCCAGCTTGCCTTACTATGGCCATGGCTGGGGAGGGAGCTTCTCAGGTGGGGGCTTCTTTGATCCATCCTGAGGTGTCCATCCAGGAGCCTGCTCTGGGTGAGCAGTGTCTGTTCAGATGTTTATCAGGGAAGGTCTGAGTATGCCCACCCACCTCCACCCATCAGGTTGCTAAATAAGTTTTCTGAAACCTCTGGACATTCCCTTCAGCACAAAGCAGACTCGTCTCCTTTGTATCTGCCCCTGCCCAGGTCTTGGTGTACATCTCTGTAGTATGCCTGGAGTGTTCAGTGCTTGGCCTGCCATAGCAGGTGCCCATCAGGATAATGGCAGTTGAAGAAGGGGGGACTCAGTGCCATGGCAATAGGAAGTCTTATCTCTGGGGCATGAGCACCATGAGAGGTCACAAAGAAGGTGGTCAGTCATTAGAAGCAGCAACTGGGGCTCAGTGCCTATAGTGCAGCGGCTATGGTGCCAGCCACATACACTGGAGCTGGTGGGTTCAAATCCAACCTGGGCCTACCAAACAATGATGGCAAACAACTACAACCAAAAAATAGCTGGGCCCTGTGGCGGGTTCCTGTGGTCCCAGCTACTTGGGAGGCTGAGGCAGGAGAATCACTTAAGCCCAAGAGTTTGAGGTTGCTATGAGCTATGATGCCACAGCACTCTACAGAGGGTAACAAAGTGAAACTCTGTCTCAAAAAAAAAAAGGCAGTAACTGGGAGTGTCAGGTGGGGAGGTCTCACAGTCTACTGATTCCCACCAGGGGAGTCACTGGGCAAAGTTCTCCCTGGCTTTAGTCACACCACGAGTCCCTCAGTTTTGAACCCCAAGATGAAGATGGAATTTATGGGAGGAATTTCAGGGCCTCTGGGGGCTCTTTGTCTTTCTTAGATGGATGAGGCAGGTCGCATTCTCTTTTGCTTGTGCAATGTGATTCCTGGAGGTGTGGTCTGTTTCTTCCCCTCCTATGAGTACCAGCGCCAGGTCCATGCCTACTGGGAGAAAAGTGGTGTGCTGTGCCGCCTGGCCTCCAGGAAGAAGGTGAGTTGCTGGAGGCCACACCTCCTGCTCATGGGGACAGGGCCACCCAGGTTTCTTCATGGGATTTCTCATGCTCAGTGAGGAAGGTTACGCTTCTCCTGGGTCCTTAGCCTAGCACTCCTGGTCCCCAACTACAGAGGATTTCCCTAGAACTCTGAGGCTCTCTAGTCCCCCAGCTAGAAAATACAGGGCCCAACAGAGACCTGAGACCCAGTGTTCTGACTTGTATCTGGGAGACATGCTCTGTCTATTTTCAGATTTTCCAGGAACCCAAGAGTACAAACCAGGTGGAACAGGTGCTGACAGAATATTCCAAGTGCATTGAGGTGAGAGGTGTCACTCTGAGGCTTAGGTCTGGAGACCAGGTGGGATTCACAGGTGGAAACATTTTAGGTGACATCTAAGCTCTGTCTCAGCAACTTTGGGCTGGGTGTCTCCCATAGAACTGTGGCCAGGTGAGAGGCAAGATGGTGACGGGGGCCCTGTTGCTGTCCGTGGTTGGAGGAAAGATGAGTGAAGGGATCAACTTCTCTGACAACCTAGGCCGGTAAGTAGTGGTCCCCTCTCATCTCGTAGGGCCGCAATACCCAGCTGCCTAGCGTTCATTGCTGCTGGGCCCCTGCCTTCATTCTGCTGCCCTCTCACAGTGGCCAGGCTGTGCCTGCTCAGGGTTCCCCACCAGTTGGGGGAGTATTTCAGCCAACATGAATTGTCCCTTAAAGAACAGGTGGGGAATTAGGCAGACCATAACTTTACTGGGACTCATTGGCCTAGACTGGATCTCAGAACACGAGGCAAACCCTTTCCAGGTGTTAGGTATGAAAGCTGGACTGGCAGATGGCAGAGGGACAGCACAGCTAGAGAGGCTCAAGGAGAGATAATATGCAGCAGCAGGTGGCATGGGTTGAGGACACTGGCAGGGCTGACGTCCTCGCTCATCTCCACCCTAGGTGTGTGGTCATGGTGGGCATGCCCTACCCCAATGTCAGGTCTCCAGAGCTACAAGAGAAGATGGCCTATTTGGATCAGACCCTTGTGAGTGCCTCCGTTATTTTAGAGGATGCAAGAAAAGCAGGGGTGGCAGTGTCACCCTAGGTTGAGAGGGCACAACCCACTAACCCATCTTCCTATCTACTCCAGAGGTCTGGCTGCACCTCCACACCTTCTTAATCTCCTCTATGGTGTCACCAGTGGCATCTGCTACTGGCATTGGCCCTTGAAGCCTCCTGGTCTGTTTGCCCAGGGAGAGCTCGGATACTAGGCAAGAATCAGCTTTCACAGGTCATCCCCTTTACCCTCTCTAGCCCAGAATCCCAGGGAAGGCCCCCCCAGGGAAGGCTTTGGCAGAGAACCTGTGCATGAGGGCTGTCAACCAGTCCATAGGTAAACCTGGGACGGCTCCTGGCTAGTGAGGTGGATGGGTGGAGAATGCGGTAACAGCAATAAAAGAGGGGCTCACCTGCCCCATCCCTTGTCTGAGGGCTGAGGAAGGGAAAGGGAAACCCAGGTGAGCCTTAGAGCTCTAGCCCATGCCCATCCAGGCAGGGCCATCAGGCACCAGCGGGATTTTGCCAGTATTGTATTCCTGGACCAGCGCTATGCCCAGCCCCCAGTCCTGGCCAAAATGCCAGGCTGGATCCGAGACCGTGTGAAGACCAAAGCCACCTTCGGCTCTGCCATTGCCATGTTGCAGAAGGTGAGTCCTACTGCTTCCTTCCCCCACCCCCTGAGAGTTCCTTCCACCCTGAGGTCTCGTTTGTCACCGCCTTCTGTCCCTGCAGTTCCATCGGGAGAAGTCTGCCTCTTCTTGATGCACAGTTGTACCATCTCCAGTGGGCAGGTGAAGGAAGGGCCTGGCACCAGCGGTGGTGTTTGCCTTGGGCCTGCCAGGGAAGAGGAAGCCCGGAGGGAGAGCTGAGTGCAGGATGCTGCCAGGTCCCAGACACAGGTAGAAGAGGCCACAGGAGACAACAGCCTAAACCTGAAGAAATGGGGTCTTGGCCATCCTTGGACACGTCCCAGTGCAGCCCCCTCCCTAGAATTTGAATCTTTCCTCCTATTCAGTGTGGCTATGAGGTTACCCCTGTGCCATCTACCCGCTGCTGCCTTCTTATGCCCACCTACCTCTGCCCTTTCTACCTTTGTACTGCATGGTCAGCTAAAATGAGCTGTTCTAGACTTTTCACCCTCTTCTACATTTTAAGCTGTTTCCCATATCCAGCCCCTTGTGGCCCTAGGGCTCCTGCTCCCCAGGGGATTCTGAATGTCCCTGGATGTCATCTTTCTGGCCTGGCTCCTATTCTCCCTCCAAGTCCCCCTCCCTCCCTCTCAACCACTTGAGTAAACTTCAAAATACCTTCTCTGTGGCATCAATTATGACAAGGGCCTTTAGTTTCTCAGCATGACCATTTTGAGACCCCCATGTCTGTCACTGAGACACTTTTCTCTTTGGGAAAATATGCCTGCACCAGCTGCCTCTGCTGGCTGCACCTCCTGTGTTTGACCCCAGAGGAAGGGGCCCTGGGCTATTCTGCCCCGTCACTTATAGCCCAGCAGGGTGGGAGGACACTTGCTGGTGGAGGAGACACACACCCTCCAGGGCTCCTGTTCTTGATTAAAAGAGCACTGTTGGTTTCTGCTGTTCTTAAGATTCTTTATTGACCCACTATCCACATTACTCTTGTCTCTTAAAATCTCCTCAAAGAGCGCTCTGGTGAAGGCTGGGAAGCGGTGGGGGCTTGGCAGCTGTGAGGCTTCCAGGCAGCCTCCCTACTCATTGAAGAAGGTCCAGGCATCCTCCATTCCAGCCCTTCTGTGTGAGGGTGGGAGCCCAGTCCTGGTGTCAGGAGGGATGACACAGGCCTCTAGGACTCCCAGTCATCCTCATCCTCTTCTCCTTGTGGCTGCTGAGGGGGAGGCAGAGGTGGGATGGAGTCTGACACTCGGGCGAAGGCACCTCCTGGGCCCTCACTGGCCCCTGACCCAGGTCCTTTCCCGGAGATCCCTGAGAGAGAAAAGGCTATGACTGAGGGAGGTCGGAGGGGAGACAAGTTTACCCATCCCCAGAGACAAACAGGCAGGAAAAAGCAGGAGGATATGGGAGATGCACAATACATCCTTAGACTTGGCCCAAAGAAGGCTGCTGGGCTCCTACCTTTGCGCCGCATGGCTAGCTTATTAAAGAGATCCGACATCAGGTCCCCACCTTGGCTTGTGGCCCTCACTGCAACACAGAAGCCATGGGTAGGGGGGTTCAGTGACACAGGTGCTCCTGGCTCCCTGTCCCACCAGCTACCCTCCCAGCCACCATGTTCACCATGAGCTCTTGGTGCTTCAATCTGTCCCTGGACCCAGCATAGGGCACTAATAAGACAATGGTGTCATTTGAGGAACACTAATAGCCACCCTGAACAATGGGCCCTTGCAAGCAGCCCCATTGCATGGAGGAGGAAACTGGCCCAGAGAGGTTAGGTAGCTCATCTGGGGCCATAGGGTCCATAAGGGGTGGGATTACTGGGACACCACTGCCTATGCCACTGTTGGGGCTTCACAGCAGACATACTCTGTAGGCTTAAGAGGCTTATAGAAGCAGGACTGAGCTCACCCTCAGGTCCTGTTTTTAAAAATCCCTGACCATGGGGCTGCGCCTGTGACTCAAAGAGTAGGGCACTGCCTCCTTCTCCTCTGCTCTCCACCCCCGCCAACCCCGCCAAAAACTGCAAAAAAAAAAAAAAAATTCCCTGACCATGGCTTGGCGCCTGTAGCTCAGCAGCTAGGGCGCCAGCCACATACACCAGAGCTGGTGGGTTCGAACCCAGACTGGGCCTGCCAAACAAATGACGGCTGCAACCAAAAAATAGCCGGGGGTTGTGGTGGGCACCTGTAGTCCCAGCTACTTGGGAGGCGGAGGCAAGAGGATCTCTTGAGCCCAGGAGTTTGAGGTTGCTGTGAGCTGTGATGCTACAGCATTCTACAGAGGGCAACAAAGTGAGACTCAGTCTCAAAAAAAAAAAAAAAAATCCCTGACCATTTTTTTTGATAACTCTTGGCAGAGTCTCAGAAGATTCTCTTTTGTCCTAGTTTGAGCTGGGTGAGCATAGAGAGGAAAGCTGCACTAATCAGGCTCCCAAACCAGGAAGGAGCCCATGACCCAGGCAGGAAAAATGAGGATGCCAGAGGCGGCTGCCCAGGGCTTCCCACAAGCACCCTCAGGGAAGCACAAGGTGGGCGGCAGGCAGGGGCCTCACACATGGGGCTGGGCAGGGAGCACCATGGTGGACCGGGTGGTGTGGGCAGGGAAGGCAGTATTTCATGGGGAGCTTCCTACTGCAGTGGTGGTCCCCTCACCTTGCTCCTGCTCCTTCTGTTTCTTCTTTTCCAGCTTGCGCTCCTTGACGCTTCGCAGCTTGGCCTTGCCAATGCCCCCAGCTTGGCGGATGGATTCCAACAGAGTGGCCCGGCCACTGGAGGGCTCAGCCACTTCCTTGGGAGCTCCCTGAAGTGCGGCTGGGAGGGGAGAGGGTATTAGCAGGAAGGACTGGGTTGTGGGGCAGCCTCGCAGGGCTGCTGCAGTGGGTGGGATGTGCTTTCAGAGCATGCTCGGGCCTAGAAACCAACTTCTGCAACAACTGGAGTTCAGGAGTCTGTGTGCAGGCCCTCCTCATCCCTCCCTCTCTGCCCTGTGATCACGTGCCACCGGCAGTGGGGGCGCGGGGGGCGGTCTGTGAGTTATCCCTGAGCTGACAATGCCTCAACTCAACACGAGCTGGCAGAGGGTTTCTGTGTGATTTCTGAATGGTGGAGACTGGGAGATAAAATGATAAAACTGAAGTTTTGTAATTTCAGGGACACTGAATATTGTGTAGCTATAGTTTTCCATTGTTTTTTTTAGCAGACCTCTTTCTTCCATTGGTTTAACTGGGATTGGGAACCCAAAGCTCCAAGGTTCTGGAGTTCAGAATTCCGCTCTACAATTTGAAAATCATTATTTTAAGAACCTAGCAGAATAAGATATTTGAAATGAGAACTATTCTGAAAATCTAGGATTTATGACCACTTAACACACCTACAAAAGACCCCTCAGGGATCCATAAAGTAGAGGTACCTTCAGAAAGAGCCTCCACCCCCATCTCCTGGCACCATTCCCACCTGTAGGAGACACACTGCTGCCACTGTTGTCCTCTCTGGTGCCTTGGCTTGTTGGGGCCATGGTCTGGGCTGGGGGGATGCTGACCAGTGTTGCAGGGGCTGGGGGAGGCGGAGGTGGTGGCGGTGGTGGTGGAGGTGCTATAAGCACCCCATCTTCTAGGTCTGAAAAGGAATTATGAGAAGGTGTGAGGTGCCAGGGAAGAAGGTGGCAGAGCAGGGAGCTCCTGGGCCCAGCTCCCTCCCAGGGCCCAGCTCCCTCCCAGGGCCCAGCTCACCTGGCTTGAAAGGCTCAGCTACCTCTGTATGGAAGGTGGGCAATTCTGGTATGGGCCCAGGGGCAGAGGGGGCAATACCAGGGCCCAGGTCAGCGCTGTATGTGAGGTCATCTGCGATGCCAGGCAGGTCAGGCAGGTAGGATGGCACATCGATCTCAGGAACCTGGCCTAGGTCCGGCACATAAAAGTAGTTCTCTGGAACCTGCAAGGTCAAGTGGGGCATGTGAGTGGTGACAGGGACCTGTATAGGCAGCCAGCAGGGCCTGATGCACACTTATGAAGCTGGGTGGGACATGGGCTCCATGGAGCCTTCACTGTCTCCCACCTGCTGCTCCAGCTGCTCTCTCTTGCTGATGGACAAGGGGGCATCAAACAGCTTCTCCTCTGCCTCTGCCCCCAGCATCACATGGGTCTTTGTGACAGCACCAGCCAGAGGGTCCAGGAGGACATACTTCTTGTACCTGTAGGGATGGAGTGGGGACAGACAGCTCACTGTCTGTCCTAGGCCCGAGGTCTGCACCTACAGCTCCTACTTCCTTGGGGCACAGTTATGTGCTGGGATCCCTCAGCCTCCCGAGCCAAACCCATGGTCAGCTCCTGGCTCCCAGCCTCATGCTACGGCCAGCTGGAGTCTGCTGCCCCCAGGGATCCTGCTAAGCCAGGCAGGCCGCCCCCCAGCCCTGCCACCATCTGACCATACAGGTTCTCAGTGGTGTTGAAGAGCAGCAAGGAGCTGACAGAGCTGATATTGCTCGGAAGGGCCCCAAGCCCCTCCTCGGCAGCGTCTTCAGGCTGTGGCTTGGTGTTCACACACACGGGGAAGTACTGTAGCTTCTCCTGGGAAGGGCCGAGGTGAGAGAGGGGTGGAGATGGTGGTGCCAGCCAAGGTGACCCACCCCATCCAAGTCAGCATTGTCTTGGGGGATAGAGCCCAGGTTGGGCCCTAAGCCCCTCCCCAGCAGTGGCATCCCAGTGTATGTGGAGGTGGGGTGGACCTCACACCTGCAGGGCCCGCCCATCCAGAGGCCGGTGCTTGCTCTGGATCCTGTGCCGGGGGCGTCTCTGCAGGCTAGGGTCCTGGGCGCCTGTGAAGATGGAGCTGTGTTCCTGCAGGCGCTCTGGGGCTGGGTACTTGGCGCTGGAGAACACCTGTGGACGTGGGCCCCAGGCAGGAGGAAAGTCTGAGGTCATTGGACAGCAGGAACAGGGACGTGGGCAACCTCAGACATGAGAGGGAGCCACTGCCCACCAGCCATGGACACGGGCACATGGGTTACCTTGATGGCCTTCTTGCAGCCCTTGATCTTCTCAATCTTGGCCTGGGCCAAGGAGACCCTCTCCCCAATGGCCTGCAGCTGGCTCCGGCTCAGCTCTACTCTCTGGGAGATCCTGCCATGGAAAAGATCCCAGAGGCTTGGACTGCTCTCCAATCCTTGCAGCCACCTGGTTGGGTAGGTTTTCTGGCACACCTCTCCTCTGACAGCCTACCTTGTGAGCCAGAGCCTTGGCCACAGGCTCTTATGTCAGTGCTACCTGCTTCTCATGGCTGATCTTGCTGCTGCCCAGGGAAACTCTACAAGGAAAATCTGACCTGGAGGGCCTGAGTTAACTGTACTGAGTCCTCGGAGCTCTTGGAGGTGATGGGTCCATCAAGCAGGTGCACACAATGAGGATAGTGACTGCTTATACACGCATACTAGCTGTTTACAGTTGGCAAAGCATTGCCAGAACCTTCACGACCACATGAAGGACACAAAGCTGGCCTCTGCGGACGAGGATACTGACATTCAGAGAAGCCAAGAGACTGGCAAAGCTCGATCTAAATGCCATCATCTGAATTCAGACCCTAGACCTGCGGATGATGCCCCTGCAAGTGACAAATGGTGCACAGAGTCTGTGTGGTCTGGCTCCTCACCTGCCCCCACTTGCTCCAGATGAGGGCACCAACCACCTCCTATTCCATGTACATGCCAAACACATTTGTTTCCTGGCCTCTGCATCCAATGCAACACCTTGGTGCAGACACACAGGTGGCCCCTGCACATCACTTAGTCTGCTCCTCAGGGAGGCCCTTCTGATCCGGAATCCACAGACGCGCCTGTCAGCCCCTATACTTGCTGTGCTTTTGCCCATGATGCATCTCTGGCCTGTGTATGTGTGTGCTCTTGTCTAGGGGGTCAGGGCTGGTTTTGTTCCCTGCTGATTCTTAGAGCCTGGGTCAGTGCCTGGCATACGCTAGGGCCTTACTCTCAGGAATAACTGAGGTCCAGACACCTTTTGCTTAATGGCCCAAGGCTCACTGATGCTTTTCCACATTGTTTTGCCACAGCAAGGTTTTCATTGCAAAGTGAACTCTGACTTGGTGCTGTCCTCCCATTTGTCCCATAGCTCCCCTACTCCAAAGAGCCCCAGCCCTTTGCCATGACAGCCGTGCTCCACATCCAGAGCAGTCACATCAGCATGACCCACGAGAGTGAGTGTGTGAGAGGCACAAGAACAAGGGAGCAGGGGCTTCAGTGTAAATCATGGGGAAAGGCAGGAGGGTAAGGTGGGGTGGCAGAGGAGCCCCTCTGTTTCCGGGGTCAGAGACCCCAGGACCAGGGACCTCTGGGATCTCCCTAAGGGTTGAAATGCATGGTCAGGAATCTGGCCCAACCTGGCCACTCCCATCAACTCTGGAAGGTCTTGGTTTCCAGAAAACCTACCCAACCAGCCAATTTCATAATCCAAGAGTCTCCATGCCCTGATGAAGCTGTCCTGATTTCTCCTGGCTTCTCATGTGTGGGGAGCACAGAGAGGGGATAGGGCTGAACTATACAGGCCCCAGAGTAGCTTTGTTTTCCCTATAGCCATCCAGGTAGGGCACAGGAGGATACCGCCCCTTCTTATGAGAGGAAGCAGCCTGGGTACCATGGCTCCCAAAGGGAGAGGTCTTCATCTGCTGTAAGGGCTACTTGAGCACAGGCTGTTTTAATGCAACCCAGTTCCCAAGGCAGGCACATTCTGCCCCTGGGTGCTACCACAATCTTTCCTGGTCACCTACATGCTCCACTTGAGTTCCAGGGGGAGAAGGGAGGACACTGGGATTAGAGATGGACAGAAGCTGCACTGGTCCAGTTCTGCCATCCAGGAGAGAGGGGCTGATGGCTAGAAGAGTCAGACAGCAAAATGAATAAGCCCTGGCATATTTTTCAAGTGGATTATTAAACAGAGGGTCTGTAAGCACTTAGAAAACAAAGATGTGAGTCCCAGGGGCCAGCACTGTGATCGGTTCCTAGCTTTCCTACTTAGGACAGGGTTATTAGGCTAGTGTGTCAGGAGAAAACACAAACACAATGCACTGCGATTCAGGTGAGATTTTTGACAGTTCCTAACAAAACCCTGTGGAAAAGATGGCACTATGGGGGCGGGAGGTGAGTACATATGGGACAAATCAGACCAGACGGACCTCAGCCCCCTGTTAAAGAGGGGACTGATCTCAGTCCTGCATGTGGGGCACTAGCAGGGTGTGTCCACTTCACCCAACGTCTAATTAGGAAGCTGGGGACATCAGATGGGAGGGTCCAATGGCTTACAAGACATAACCGAGACTTGAATAAAACTGAAAGCCAGGAGGGGCAGCCATCCATGAGATGGAATTCTTGAAAAATCAATGTGGAGATGCTTTAGATTTAAACAGCTACAGGCACAAATATAGAAGGTAGAGAGAGTTTCATTTAGCAGCAGTTCAGGCAAAGAAAGACCTGGGAGTTTCAAGGAAGGATAAGTTTGGGAGGGGCTAAAAGCAAGAGAAGCAGCTTCTAAATGCAAGAAATGGTGTCTCAGGGCTCCCTGCTCCTTGTTCTTCTTCCTCCATCCTTCCTTTTGCATGCTCTCCTGGAGGCTCAGAGGAGCAGTGAGAGCCAGGCCCTCCAGTCTCAGTACCCCTGGATACTGGATCCACAGTGTGAGAGGACTCTGACCTTCCCTGCAGACTGCTGTGCCTCTAGCCCTGGGATGGTACCTGACAGGTAACAAATGTGGCCTAAGCAGAAAGTGACAAATGAACAAACATCTAGAGGAGAGTGATGAGGATGGTGATGAGTGAAAAACTCATGTCATTTGAACAAAACTTAAAGATGTTCTGGCTGAAACGGAGATGATTTTGCAATTACAACCATCCCCTTCAAATATCAAAATGGCTGTCAGGTAGAAGAGTGACTGGAAACATATTCTCTGTCATCCCAGAGGGCTGCACTAGGACCAGTGGGTGGGGTTATAAGGAATGAGATCTCAGTTCTCAAACGGAAACTTTCTAGTAAACAGCCGAGTGGCTTTGCAAAGCAATCACACTCCAGCTGCACAACCACCTGTCAGAGTGTGTCAGGGGAGGCCTGCCTATGGCACGGGACAGACATGACTCTGGGGGTCTTTCCTTACCTGAGACCCTATAGGACTAAGTGCTGACTTGCTTGTGGACAAGGCTCCTGGACAGTCTAAATCTCTTACAGGCACACACCATGATGGCATGAGATCGTACAGACCCAGGATGAGAAGAGGTTTCAATGGGTTTGCTGTCTCAATGGACTGGCAGTGGTAGTCTGGAAGGCTGTGTTAGGAAGGGCACGTTGGTGGCTGGGATGTTGATAAACGTCTACTGTGAGGGGAGCGTGTTTGCCATTATAAGTCCAGACACTCCTGGCTTGGTGGCCTACTAGTAAATTAAGTCAGTTTCCAAGTCATCACTGAAGCCATTCCTGTGGCACATCTGCCCAGACCTGAGAAAGGAAGCCAAGTTTGCCAATGACAGGACACAACTGGCCCCTCAGCCTGCTCAGAGCTTGGCCTTCACTCCCAGTCCATCCCTCTCTTGCTTCTTTTTCTCCCCACCCCTCATGTTCAATAAATAACTTGAGTTCATTCAGTTCATGAAGCACAGTGCTGGGCTGTGGGGGCCACAGATGAATCAAAAATACACAACTACCCTCAAAGGGACTCAGGTCTATCGAGGAGGTAAGAAGTAAACATTGATAACCACAGTATCCCACATACCTGGGTCCCACATCTAATTTGCAGCACTTTAACCTTGGAGTTGCTAAATGATCTATGCCTCAACTTCTTCAGCTGAAAACAGTATACCCTTGACTTCATGGAATTACTGTAGAGGTCCCAATGATCAGACCCTGCGTAGTATTTCTGTCCTAACAGACACAGCCCAGGACTCAGTAAACAATTTCACTGCTATTGCCCATAAAATTGAGAGGGATGGGGGCTACAGGTGCTCAGAGGAAATATAGAACTTCTCCACAGGTGGATGAAGGTAGGGATGGGGAAGTTTCATGCAAGAGGTAGCCTTGAACAGACATGGAGAAGGGTATTCCAGGCAGAGAAAACAGGCGCTTTCAAAGAGTACACCACAGAGGACAGTGTCAAGAAACGGCAAGCTCCTCTGGCCACTGTGTGAGGTGTTCAAGGAGGCCCGTGGGGACCACTTTCCTTCCAGCATGGCAGAGGGGTGGCCAGGATGGGGTTTGGGCTTCCTGCCCCACCATCTTTAAAGACAACCTCCTCCCACTCCCTGTGAGAATATTTCCTATGAAGCTAGGCAGGCCCCAGCCCCAGGAGGGCCACCACTGGCCCATCACAACCAGGGTGCCAGGCCCTAGGGGCCGCAGGGGAGGAGGGAGCATCCCTCCCCAACCCAGGATCACCGCATCTCCTCCCCTCACCTGTCATGACTTGAAGGATGCAGACCCTCAACCTGGGCTTTTGCCTTCACTTTTACCTCAGTACCCTCTGCAAAATTAAGAATGATCAGCTGCTGCATCATCAGCTGACTGACTCCTGGGTGTCTTTGGTGGCCACTATGGGAAGGGAGGAAGGAGGGAGTAAGGACAGGGGAATACATAGGAGAGGCTAAAAGAAGGGAGAAAATGAAGGAAGGAAGAAGAGGAGAGATGGACAGACAGCCTCATAGAGACCATTACCCTTTTCCTGGGAGGAAGGAGCTGGAAAGTGGCTGTTGCTTCAGGGTTGTAGTGGCTGGGTCAGGCCAGGGAGGGCAGATGGCAGTATCCATCGAGTTATCTAGCTTCCCTTCTCTAGGCCACTCCAACCTCTCCTGCCTTGTCATTCATGTCATGTGCAGCAGGAAACATCTCTGGGCAAGTGTTTGGAGGCCTAGCCACTGCCAGGTGAAGTTGGAGCAGATACAGGGTCTGAAATCTTATAGGTAGGAGGAGGTGGCAGGGAGGGGCTGGCAAGAGCAGCTCCAGGAGACACTCGTCCTACTCTCCTGTCTGCCTGGCTCCACACAGTGGTAGAGTGGAAGGAGCCCAGGTTGCAATGGCAAACTGCCATGAGCTCACCCACCTGTGCCACTGGGCATGGGATCCAGAGGTCCAGGGACCAGGCCTTGGCCTACAAGGGGTTGCTGTGGGGAGTACCTCTGCTTTACCCACCTGTCCCTTCTTTGCAAGAGGCTTCCAAGCAGGAAGAGCATGTTTGAGGGGGTAGATTCTATGCTGCTCACATCCCACCAAAAAAGCCCATGAAAAATGAAAAGCCCATGAGCTTGTCAACTGCTGCAGGGTGGGGGGACAGGGGACAAGGATGATTGTAAGCCTCCCTGCCTCATGCCCCCATCACTCACTCCTCTTCTCCTCCATCCTTACCCCAGTGTGTCACACGTTCTGTCACTGTTTCTTTTTAATGTCTCATCCAGCCCTACCCACATGCATGGCTCTTGAACTATGGGTTAATACCTTTCATGTCCTGACTACAGCAACAGTGTCCACAACTTCTCGGGGACCTGGAAACTGCCTTCCCCTTCTTGTCCATGTTGTGACAGCTGCCTGATGAGCTCTCTCAGAACTCTCTGTCTCATCATCTCCCTCCTGCAAGGACCTACTGTGGCTGCCTAAGAATCAAGCTCAAAGTCCTATCCTATTATAAGGCCCCTCCACGGGCCTTCACTTACAACTTTTCACTCCTTACCAGGCTGCCCTTCCCTGCCCCAGAGCACTCCTGCAGCACTGTGGAGGACACAGGAAATGTAGGACACATACCCCAGAAGGCAGCAAGGCCCACAGGCACATCAAACTCACCTGTTGACACCTTGTTCTGTAATATAGGAACTGAGAGTAAGGGACAGGTGGCATGTCTATGCTCCCCGTGCAGAAGCAGCCCCCCTTAGGCCAGCCTCCCCTTGCTGCCCATGATTCTCCATGTTCCAGGCCACATCCAGGCTTCTCTCTCAGTCTGTGGCTCTCATGTCCAGATGAGTGACACACCCAATTTCCCATCCCTGGTCTCCTCCAGGAGCCCCTGGTCCTGTGTGCTGGGTGAGCAGTTTTCTCCAGCACCTCCTTCCTCCTTATTCAAGTAACAGCTCCATTTCCTCAGGGGAACCCATGTCTCCTTCAGACTCAGTCCCTTGTGCTTCAGTGGAAGCTATGCCCAGGGCTCAGGACTGAGGCAGCGACCCAAGTCTAAGCCAATCAGGGAGTCACATCCTCCTGCCACTACGAATTGATTCTGGGTAGACAGGAGAACCACACCAAGCCACATAGGGTGATTGTAACTTCTAGGGGAATGTTTGAGCATTCATTCCTCAAGCCCTGACCCTGACTTCATGAGCTCTGGCCTACTGGCTGTCACCTTCCACCTCTAGCTCAAGGCCTGTCGGAGAAGGGAGCCAACACAAAAGAACCAAGGTGAAGTGGAGCCTGCACCCACACTCAGCTAAGTCATTGCTCCCTTCCCCAGGAGATGGCCTTTCCTCAGCCCATCCCAGGACACGAGGACATACCACTATCCACAGGGTGGCAAATACTGGGATTGGAAAGGAAACTGTTCCAACAGTCAATGATGGCTGGGTGGCCATTATTTGGGTCTGATGGATCTTTTTTTTTTTCTAGGCAAGAGCTTTAATGAACTGAATAGTTATTAGCATCAGAAACCAATGTAGGAGATACAAAATTATTATCTTATGTCAGAAAATTTCTCACGCTGGCAATAGCATAGGTCCTGCTGAATTCCAAGACTGTCATATTACCTCTACCCTGTGAGGGACTCTGGCGAACATGGTAGTATCTCAGCATAAAGTTCCTTTTCCCTGACAACTGTAGGGAAGGTGAAATGAAGGGAGTGTACCCAAAAGGAAAGGGGTGAGTCTGGGGATCCTGTGCAAACAGCACTCAAAGGGGTCCCTGAGCCCAGGGCTCAGAACTTCAGGGGAATGACAGGTCAGTACTTTGGCTGCTTTCTGTCTCAGTGCTTGTCAAAGCTCAGCTGCACAGCAGCCTCCATGGCCTGAATCTTGGCAGCGCTGTCTCCATACAAGCACTTCATCTCGACCTTGTGCCACTTGCTACGCCTCTCAGTTGGGGGTTCAAATGACCTGTGGGGGTTGTAGCATAGGTCATGGTCGGCATTCACATAGTCATCCAGGCACTGTGCATCCAGCTGCTGCCGCCGCCGTCGCTCTTCTCTGTGCCTCTCGGTCTCTGCAAAGTACTGGCGGAGCTCCTCCGTGATTTCCTTGTTGCTCAGGTCACATTCTACCGCCTCATCTGATTCAGTCTCTACCTCCTCATCTTTGGAAGAAGTTTGGTCCTCTCTTGAGGATACCTGGAACCTCCTGCTAACGTGTCGCTGCTTCCTAGACCTGAAAAATGTGAACTTCAGTGGTAGTCCTGCTGGGCTAAGTGATGGTCACTGAAAGACTGAGGATCTCTAGCCTCATTATCACAAGAGCTTGTGGAAGAAACTGGAGAAGGGAAATGCTGTGAAAAACTGAAATAGAATTGCATGGCCTTTCTGTAGGCATCCTGGTGGTTTTGCATCCAAGCCATTGCTTGATGATAATGTTGCCAGTCCCTTGCATATGCTGGGTGAGAATACCAAGACTCAGAAGCTTTTGATGTTGATGCCTGTGCTGCCATCCTTCTTGTTAAAGTCCAAATGGGCACTGAATCTCCCCTGGGAGTGTCTTACTCTTTGAAGGCACAAACCTTCATGCACTGAACCACAACCTCTAATGGGCTGGCAGAGCTTGTGGGCACATAGCTTGTAGATCCTGGGTGGTGGATGAGAAGGTGCCTAATTTTCATGGGAAAGACAGAGGGGAAGAGTAGGGAGGGGATACTGCAGGAGGTATTAGACGGGTCTGATGATCTTAAAGGTCTATGTCCATTGAACATATTCAGCTCAAAAATTAGCACAATGGGGGCATCTAGCACTTGTTTATAACTTCTGATAGCAGGGTGATGAATGACCACCACGGGCAGCCAGTGGGCAAAGATGATATCAGCAGGAAAGAGCTGACATTTCCTGAATGCTTACTGGGTACCAGGCATGGTTTCATTCCTTTGCATATTTTAATTCATCTAATCTGTACCATAAGCCTATGAGGAACATACTGTTCTTACCACAATTTTACAGATGATAGCATTGAGGCTTTTGACTTACCCAAATACAGATCAAGCAAATGGGGCAGCTGGAAGTGTTCTGCTCCAGAGTGAGCCCTGGGCCACTCAGTACCTCTTGGTTACGGGGATATTGTGGACAGGTTTGGGGAAGGCCAGGGGTGTCAGAGGGCACAGAAGCAGCAAAAGAGCAGGAGAGCCAGGAGGATCTGGTGTTTGTACCAAGCCTAGCTGGAGGCAATGCCCCCCCCCACAACTGGGGAGGCTTTGGGGAGAAGCATGAGGGAGAAGGGGACTTTAGGTCTGGCATCCCACCAGGGGTGGGGGGGGTGATTTAGACCCTGAAAGGAACCTGAGTCACACTTCACACTGGATGGGAGGAAAGGCCCCAGTGTGTGAGGCACAGGGTGGGCACCCAGGAGACCAAGCTTCATTTCAGGTTGTTTCTGGCCCTACAGAGACAGGATCTGCACACCACACTCAACCTGGGACCTCTGCAAGGAAACAGCATACGCTGTGTACTCATCCACACTGAATGAGCACTGAGTGTGCTGGGGCAGTGCTGGAGACAGAGGCTACAGCTCAGAGCCACCAAGGGTGCCTGAGGCTCCACCTATTCCACCAACCTCCCCTTGTTCTGGGCATATCCACTTCCTTTCATGCCTCTTCTCGACCTACCCTCTCACCCCTCAGACCTTACCATAAATGTTAGTTACTCACACACACTTCCCCTGATCTCTCTAGACCAAGTCAGGTCCCTATCCAAGACCTACAGCACATGTACCCTACACAGACAGATGGTAATAGCCCCATAGAATCTGAACCTTGGCTCTGCCATGTGGCCAAGTCTCTTAGCCTTTCTGTACCTCAGTTTCTTCATCTATAAACTGGAAGTAACACAGGATGTCTTCATAGACTATAGCAAGTGTTAAATGAATTAATGCATGTGGGTCAATGGTGGTACATACCTAATTTATATAAATATTAGTAATCACAAAAATACTATCAACAGGTCTTATAACTATAATTACATAACTCATCATGCAATTGGTTACTTAAGTTTTTATCTCTTGCCAACTATATACTCTAGTAGGACAGGGATGCTGTGTCATTCCTGCTGTATCTAGAGAGATTAGCACAGTGCTTGTGCACATGCAGTATCTAGTAAATATTTGCTGGCTGCAGGAATAAGTGAAGGAACAATGCCCTTTGGTGGGAAGATGAACATGAGCTGGGAGAGCAGAGCCACCACTGGGGCCTGTGGGACCCACAGGAAGCCAGGAGGCCAAGGCAGGGAGTAGGCAGTGAGGAGAAAAGGCTTCCATGCTAGACTCCTGCCCTGGACCCCTCCTGCCTAGGGAAGCCAGTTGGGTCCTCATGAGCAAGAATCACCAAAGAGGCTGCTCCAAGAGGATGTATTCCTGGGACTAGAGAAGAGGACTGCTGGGTCAGGGTGGAGCTATCTGATTAGGTGGGGGCAGGTGGCAGCACCCACCTGCTAAAGATGTCTGTGGAGACTTTCTGGAGGTACTGCAGGGCATCTGCCACTTGCTGGATGGCCTCTTCTCGCCGAAGGTCTGGCTGGATGAGGGGCACGGCATAGGTCTGAACTGCTAAGCAGTGCTGGGTCCTCCCAGGAGTCATGGTGCCTGTGTGTGGGAACAAGAGCATCAGGACCACCCAAGTCACCCTACTCAGCCAGCATAGCCTTTATTCCAACTCCCTTCCCGGGAGGGGGGACACTTGGTAGGAGGTCAGGAGTTCCCAGGAGGCAGGATTCAGCTGCTGCCTAAGGCAGAAAGCAGGCAGGATCAGGGACTGGGGAGTTGGTAGGGGCAACAGGGAGTTCAGAGAAGGGGAATGTTTTTGATTTTGGCCTAGATGGTACATGGGACCTGGGACCTGCGAGTAACTCTTTCCATACATTATCTCAGTTCAACTCCCCACACTTAGATAAACAAGAAAGAAATCCTGGCTGCAAGGCTAAAAAGAGGATAGATGCAAAGGGATGGATGGAGGAGGGAGAGAGGGAATTGCCTGAATCTAACAACATGTTACTCAGATCTGGAAAAGCACAGACAATGTACTCACTTGGGCTCTTCCCACTTGAACCACTCAGAACTTGAGGCCTGCTCTTGAGATAGACTAAGCAGTGGCTAGTGACTCTAGGTACAGGAGTGTCCATTCTCTGCTCACCTAGGCTAGAGCAAAGGGAACCAGGAGGAAGAAGATGCATGTGATGGCAAAGGACAGGAAGGAAAAGCATTCCTTGAATTGCAAGGTGGGGGATTTTTATTAGATTTAATGAACTCCTCTCTCTGGTGCCCCTAAGGCAGCAACCACACTGCAGATGGCACTGATGTGATTGGCAAGAGATGTGCTAAGTTCCTATAATCAGGTCTAATCATAGCACCTCACTGAAAGACAGTGAGGATGAATTCCCTGCTAGGGACCACACCTGAATTTGTTTGTGCAGGCGCATTTGAGAAAGGATCATATAGGCACAAATCTATTAAACAAGAAAATAGCAAGTTTTTTAAGAAGAGAATGGGCCAGACACATGCCTGTAATCCCAGCATTTTAGGAGTCTAAGGTAGAAGGAATGCTTGAGGCCAGGAGTTTGAGCCCAACCTGGGCAAAACAGCAAGAAAATACAAGAAAAATTAGCTGAACATGGTGGCACATGCCTGTAGTCCCAGCTACTTAGGAGGTTGAGGCAAGGGGTTCAGGAGTTGAGCCCAGGAGTTTGAGGCTGCAGTGACTATGATGATGCCACTGCACTCTAGGTTGGACAACAGAGCAAGACCCTGTGTCCATTAAAAAAAAAGAGAGGCCAGACATGGTGGCTCATGCCTGTAATCCTAGTATATCTGGGAGGCCGAGGCCAGTGGATTGCCTAAGCTCAGAAGTTTGAGACCAGCCTAAGCCAGAGTGAGACCTCATCTCTAAAAATAGCCAGGTGTTATGGCAGGGGCCTATAGACCCAGCTACTTGGAAAACTGAGGCAAGAGAATTGCTTAAGCCCAGGAGTTTGAATTGCTGTGAGCTGTGATGCCATGGTACTCTACCAAGGGTGACAAAGTGAGACTCTGTCTCAAAATAAATAAATAAATAAATAAATAAATATAAAAGAATTAAGAGCCCTAGTATAGCTGATTAGTGGTATTAGATGATATGTTCTGATTACCTATTAGGTACAGGAGTGATCACAACAAAGATGTTAAGACACCACATGAGCCAAGAAGATTCCTCAGAAACAATGAAACCCCATGTGATAGACACTATAATCTAGCCACAAATACAGTGCAAAGGAATGATAAATCCCTTTTGGGATTAGGGGAGTCAGAAGAACCTCTTAGCAGAATCTGTACCTTTCTGCTAGGCCTAGGGAGTGGGCGCAAAGAGAGCATCTCAGGTAAAAGGAACAGCTTGAACAAAGGTGTGTAGGGGAATGGCAAGTGGTCTTGAATGTAAGGGTACAATCATCTTTGGGGAAGTATTAAGAAAAAGAATGATAAAGACAGGCCAAGATTGCAAAAAAACACTGAATAACAAGGCTAGGAATTTGGAGTGGAGCCAGGAATGAAATCTTTAGATGTGTGCTATCCAATATGTAGCCACCAGTTACATGTGGCTATTGAGTACTTAAAATGTGGCTAGTCCCAATGGAGATGTATGGTAAATATAAAATACACACCAAATTTCAAAGACTTAGTAGGAAAAAGAATATAAAATATCTTATTAAAATTGTTATATTAATTACACACTGATTATAACCATATTTTAGATATACTGGATCAAAGAAAATGTATTTCTAATTTTACGTGTTCCTTTTTACTTTTACACCTTTCTTTTTCTTTCTTATAAGGAGTCAGTCTCCTGGAATTCCACACTTGATCTTAGCCAAAAGGCCAAGAAGCCATCAGTTTTCTGTGATTCTAAAGAAACAAGTCTTGGGAAATAGGAGCAAGATGGCAGACCAGAAGGATCATTCAGGTGAGCTCTCCTAGAATGACTGAGGAAAAGGAGAAAACCCAGCCATACCTGGTGCAGCCATACCTGGTAAGATCCCTTACCCAGACCTTACCCAGAATCATAGCTCAGGGAGGACAGAAAGGAGGTGGTGATCTAGATACAGCATATCATCCGGAGCAGTGGAAATCTGATGAATTAAGCAGGTGATTGCAACCGGCTGGGATCAACTGGCTGCCTACATAGGTCAGGGATGGAAGAAGACTTTTCAGAGTTTTCAGTTGTTGGAGAAGGTGTGCATTGAGTGGAAAGCTTGGAAGAGTAGCAGCCTCTAACAGTATATAGCAACCAGATTTGAATGCCAGTTGGAGTGGATTTGCCATAGGTTTGGTGGATGGTGAGGCAGCCACACTGAGAAGGTCTCCGCGGCCAGGGGGCTGCCATGGTGGGAAGTTCACAAGAAGGTCTTAGCAGGGGTCTAAAGCATGCCTGTTTTAATTCCACCTGCAAGGAAGAGAACTCCACTCTCTGGACAGGCCGAAGGACTCTCGCACCCCATGGGAACTGAAGTCAGGGGGCTCTCTGAGACCTGCCCCTGAAGGATTCTTGTGAGTGTAAAGATCCCAACCCAGTAGGGTCTGAATGCTGAGGAAAGAATCAGACAATAACCAAAGGCAACTAAGTTTGGTATAAGAAACATAGAGGTTGCTGGCTGAGGTGTCACCTAAAGAAACAACAGTGCCACCTGGTGTCCGGGGACATATTGCAACATACTGTCATCAAGAGCAAGGACTTCTTTTGTTTCTGTTTGAAATAAAGGAGGCAGTGAGAAGGAAAAAGGGAGACAAGGAGGTGAACAAGAAAATAGAACACATGAGGAGGAAACAATAGAAAATTTCAGGCAACATGAGAAACCAAAACAGAGGAACTCCTTCAAGGAACCATGAGGCAGCTACAGCAGAAGACTCTACCTATAAAGAATTAATGGACTTGACAGAAAGGGAATTTAAAATATGGATGATAAAGACAATAAAAGGAATGGATAAGCAAGTGGAAAGACATAACCAAAGTCAGACAAGAGATATATAGAATATAGAAAGGATATGGTGGAGCTTAAGGAAATAAAGGAGACAATCAGGGAATGTAAAGATGCAATAGAAAATACCAAAAATAGGTTAGACCATGGAGGAAAAAGAACCTCAGAGATATAGAATAAGGTTTTTGAATTAACCTAGGTAGTTAAAGAAGAAGAAAAGAAGAGAGAAAGCAGAATAGGTGCTGAGATAACTATGAGACTCCATAAAGCATTCAAACATACAAACAATAGGGATTCCTAAAGGGGAAGAAGACTGTCCCAAAGGAATGGAAGCCCTACTGAAGACTATCACAAATGAAAACTTCCCAAGTTTTACTAAAGATCCTGACACACTCCTTTCAGATGGATATCAAACTCAGGGTCATCTCAACTCAAAGAGAACACACTGTAATGAGAATGTGTTCTCCAAACACATAATGAACCTGTCCAAAGTCAACATGAAAGAAAAAATTCTGCAAGCAGCCAGGACTAAGCACCAACAGACCTACAGAAGCAGAGACATTAGGATGACAGCAGACTTTTCAACTGAAACCTTCCAAGCCAGAAAAGCATGGTCATCCACCTTCAAAATTCTTTTTGAGACAGAGTCTCACTTTGTTACCCTTGGTAGAGTGCCCTGGCTCACAGCAACCTCAAACTCTTGGGCTTAAGTGATTCTCTTGCCTCAGCCTCCCTAGTAGCTGAGATTACAGGTGCCCGCCAAAACACCTGGCTATTTTGTAGAGATGGGGTCTCGCTCTTGCTCAGTCTGGTCTCAGATTCATGAGCTCAGGCCTCAGTCACCCAAGTTTTAGGATTACAGGCATGAGCCACCACGCCCAGCTACCTTCAACATTCTTTTTTTATTTTTTTGAGACAGAGTGTCACTATGTCACCATGGGTAGAGTGCTGTGGCACCACAGCTCACAGCAACCTCAAACGCTTGGGTTTAAGTGATTCTCCTGCCTCAACCTCCCAAGTTGCTGGGACTACAGGTGCCCACCACAACACCTGTCTATTTTTTCATTGTAGTTGTTGTTTGGCAGGCCTGGGCTGGATTCAAACCCACCAGCTCTGGTGTATGTGATTGGTGCCCTAGCCACTGAGGTACAAGTGCCAAGCCACCTTCAACATTCTTAAACAGAACGATTTTCATCCCAGAATTCTGTATCCTGCTAAACAAACCTTTAAAATTGATGAGAAATCAATTTTTTTGCAATATACAAGCACTGAAGAAATTCACCACTAGACTAGCTCTACAGGAAATACTTAGACCTATTCTCAACACTGATCACTACAATGGACCACCAGGAAAATAAACACCCAGAAGTTAAAGGTCAAAACTTAGCTTCCACAATAGTGCAAAGGATAAAACTACACAACAGACTTTTACAAAATAAGGTGAACAGAACTCTGCCACTCTTATCAATTTGCTCAATAAATGTCAGTGGACTGAATTCACCACTGAAGAGGCATAGGTTGGCTGATTGGATATAAAAGCACAAACCATCCATATGCTGTCTCCAGGAGACACACCTAGCCTTGAAGGACAAATCAAGACTCAGAGTTAATAACTGGAAAACAGTATTTCAAGAAAATGGA